TTATACAATCTGTCTTGCATGAAAAACCATTATGTGGTTGATGTTTTGGATCCTTCTGGGAGCTTTCCCTCCTCTTTTGGCTTTCTTCATCCATTACCTCATAGGGAAACGAAAGATGTCTTGGCTCTCCCTTTGATTGAGAAGTTTGTCCTTAGACCAGGGAGAAAGGGACATTCATCTTTGGAGCAAGCCTCTAAGAGGATTTCTCTTGTAAATCGTTGTTTCAGTGTTTATTGGATCCCATCTTGATTAGCAAGTCAGTTTTTTCTTCTCTGTCGAAGGTGAAAGTCTTAAAGAAAGTTCAATTCTTCGTTTGACTAGTCATCCAAGAAGAGATAACACTTCATATTGACTTTTAAAGAAGATGTCTTATTTGGTTGGTTCGTTTTGTTGTATTGTTTGTTGGAGGGAGGAGGAAGAGTTTGATCATATTCTTTGAAGTTGCAATTTTGCTCACTTATTTGGATCCTCTTTTTTGAGGTGTTTGGCTTTTAGCTGTCTAGACACATAGATAGTAGGGAAATGGTTGAGGAGTTCGTTCTCCATCCGCCGTTTTGAAAGAAGGGAAAGCTTGGGTGTTGTGGGGTTTGTGGGAGGAGAGAAATGAGATTGGAACTTCGGAGGAGTTGAGAGGGGCCCTAGTGATGTATGTCCCTTGCTAGGTTTTATGTTTCTCTGTGGGTATTGGTAACACTGTTATTTTGTAATTATTCCTTATGTTTTGTTTTACTTGATTGGCGCCTTTTTTAGTGGGGTTTCCTTATGTATGCTACATTTTTGGATGCCAAAGTAAGCATATGGCAGGTTAGTTGATGCTTGCAACAAAAATACGGTCCTAACTTAACTTAAAATATAAGATTTAGGTTCGGTAGCAGGTGTGATTCAATCCATAAATGAACAAATGTTACTGCAATTTGTTTAACAATACTCCTGCTTTTGAATTCAAACGAAGCGGTTTGTGGGTGATATGCCTTGGTAGAGGGAAGATCAAAAGTTTCTAGCGACCAAAACATGAGAAAACCAATGAGCTTATTGAGCAGGTTTGGAATTATTAGCAGATATGCATTCTCTTTCAGTGAGTTCCTATAAGATCACGTTGGAATAAGGTTTCGCCGCTTCACTCTGACTTTATTGTTGCCCGCTTGATGTCCATACGCTATTCATGTTGGTTTCTTTTCTTTTGAGGGTTTATTTTTGATAATGGTAGATGTGAATAATCTATTATTGGTGCGATCTATGTTGGAAATGATAAGTTTGAAGCACCCTTTGAATGCTAAACCCTACACCTCCATCTATAATTGGCATTACCCACAAGCTGCAATGGACATTCATTTTATTTTCTATGGATAATATGATTGTGATGGGTTGATGGTTTTAGACCATATCAGTCAGTGAGTTTGAGGTACTTTGTCCTACTGCATCATGGGGGAACTGGGGGTCTAATGTGTGCTCAATAGGTTAAAACAATTTGTACCCATTGGAGGGGCATGGAGAATTTGGTGAAGGGACGATGCTGTGCAACCATTGGATGATTTTATTTATTTATTTTTTAATTTTAAAAAAATATGCGTGACTGTTCATTCTAAGCGCACCTCGATTATTCTCGTGAGACAATTGACCCTACTACATATTTTGTTGCCAAGTTGCATTTAGTTGGATGATGTGATATTATTTAGAACCAGGGTCTTGTTATCCACCGTAAAGGTATTTTTGAACTTTTTTTTAAAGTTTAAGAATACTTTGAGTTTTTATTAAGTTTTAAGGATACCATTGAAACTTTTGAAAGTTGAAGGGTATTTTAAAGTACAAAATTAGTAGTATTTTTATTAATGTTTTAACATGAAGAAGATACTTTTTTATGGCCATATGGCATCACTAACACTAATTGAATTTGCAGCATATATGTAATCGATTTGGGATCTGCTCATGGAACATTTGTGGCTAACGAGCGATTGACTAACGAGTCCCCAGTCGAGCTTGAAGCTGGACAGTCTTTGCGATTTGCTGCATCACGAGGACTTATATCTTGAGAAAGAATGATGCTGCACTTTTTTCTCATCCACCATTGCCCACTGAGGTTGATTTACCACCACCTCCTGATCCATCGGATGAGGAGGCTGTTGTTTCTTATAATACATTACTAAATCGCTTATGTCTTACCAAATCTGGGTTACATTCATCATCTGAACATAGTAGCCCAGCAAGTGTAAAAGAAGAAACACAGCGTGAAAGACCTACCAAAAAGCTTAGGAAGATGAGAGTGGCTTTCAGAGATCAACTTGGAGGGGAACTGGTTGAAGTTGTGGGTTTTTCAGATGGTGCAGATGTAGGGACAGAACCTGGTCCAATGGGGGTTAAAGAAGGAAGTCTAGTTGGAAAATATGAGTCTCTTGTACAGACTACCATAATACCTAAAGGCAAGGAGCAGTCTTCTTTGAGGGGAGATAACATTTTTCCAAAAAATCCATCGAAAAGTGAAATATATGACGACCTTTATGGAGAATCATTTTCAGGAAATGTGGGTACGTCGTGGGCATATTCTCCTAGTACTGCTAATAACCCGTCTTCCCCTCCTAAAGACTTGATTGGTAAAGCTTCAAGTGGGAACCATGAAGTAGATAACAGGACCAATATGAATAATGACAGTGATGATGATTTGTTTGGTAATTGATCATAATGAGCTGAATGATTGTGGAAGTCTGTAGTTTTCTGTCGTGACAAAAGGGTTGTTGATCAAGGCTACAGGAATTCTTTGCATATGGATAATTTTTTCCTTTTGAAATGTAACTGAGGACTTTAAGTTGATGCATTTCATCAGGAATTCTTCTTTGGTAATTGCACGCCTTACCAAGGGGCACGTGTAGAACTGATCATAATATTTGAAACTCTGGCTTCACAAGTGTATACAGTAGAAATTGAGGAAATGAGAAGAAAAGGGGTGCGTGTCGCCTGTATGGTTGGTCGTTGAGGCTGTTCTCGTGAAGGTTCGAACCCGCCCCCCCCAAATCCCTTTTCCAATCTAGCCTAAAATAATAGTTCTTTTTGCATTGAGTTTGTCATCTATTGTTTGTAAGGTTCTGTTTGTTTTAACTCTTCGGATAATGAAAAGTGATCTATAGTAGGAAAAGAGATTCCAACAACATTTCCAAGTGATAGTGCACTTGTACTGAAAAAATAATTCAAGATTATTCCTAAATTAGAAGATTACTTTGGAATGAAAACACTGTTGTGCTACTGTTACTCTAGCAGATTCGAGTCGAGTTAAAGGGATAGCTTAATTATTACTTTTGCTTGGCTACGCACAAAAATGATTTTTATGCTACTGTTACTCCTACATTATTCATTACATGAGAATGCTATATACTGTTACTTAATTATTACGTCTAGTGATTCTCCTTTTGACAGAATGACAAGATTTGCCGGCTACAAAAGATATGAAGATCAGCAGCTGTTTATTCAAGCTTTGAGCTGAAAAGTTGTTTGGAGGATTCGATCAAAGATGCTTCCTGGAGTCAAATTATGGGAACTGTTAACTCTCGACGTCTTTGGCTTTACGAGGTAAGGTTTTATCAATGGTAGAAATTTGTAGTGATAAATATGGGTGCCAATGCTGTCTGGTTAAGAGTCCTTTATAAGAATGTAGTTAAAAGCTTAGAAAAACAGTGATATGCCTTGAGCAAGTGACATCCACTGAAAGACACGATTCCTTTTGATACTTTTTTGAGTCTTTGTAGTATCCCATCATAATGAGAGTGAAGTTTGACTATTCCCATTTGGTATACGTTTGTAGTGTCCTCTCCCTCCCATTCTCTCTCTACCCAATTATTTAGATGCCTGGCCATGGAGTTTTTTGTTTGATTCATGAATCTTTTACGATTACTACTATTTAACGTATATGATATTATACTTTTTCGGAAAGTATTATTGTTTTCCATGTTACTTTTTGTTGATACGTTCAAAAAACGTTCAAAAGTAGAGCAAAATGTTTACAAAGAAAGTATATGATTTGGATATACTTATAGGATATTGTGGCGAAAGAGATTAGGACATAGAGCAATGATAAGAGAATCTCATTAAAAAACTGTAAAATTGATATGAGATAATGATGGAAAAGAAGATGGTATTGATGATGGTGATGATGATGATCATCATATTAGAACGACGGTGATCTTCATTATGAGAATCATCATGGCATGCAGTCATGATTAGTGATTTTGATTGAACGATGATGATGGATTGTTGAAGGGATTGAAGGGATGGGTGTGGGTCCATTATTTATAGTTTGATCTTACATTATTTATGTGGTTAATTACTTGCAACAGGAACAGAGCATACTGAAGGTTGGAGGCACTGTTTCATGAAAAGAAGATATATTTTAATGGGCTTTTTTTTTATGTTCATCTCAAACTTTGTGCAAAAAGTTAGCTGTTTTGTTCCCATTTTCTTACAAAAGTAGGCGTAGGAGGAGAAGGAATGATAGCAGTAACATGAAAGATGATCATGTGATTGCTATTAACTGTCCTACTCAACCTATTCCTTTGGTCTTCTACAAATATACTTTTGTTATTTCCTTCAATCCCATGTTCTTCAACAATACTTACCAAGTAAATCCATGTAGTAGAAGATAATTTCGCTGAAAAAGAAGTAGAATAGCAAATAAGTCCAATGTAAACACATTTGTAATAATATATGTCATTTGATCCTGAGTCTTACTTGATATTCAACTTTAGATAACGAGATATATTTTGCTTTAGTAGTAGAAAGATCGACAATGGATTGTTTCTTTGAACCACATGAAAAAAAATACCCGAATCAATAATAAAAACACAACCTGAACATGGATGTAATGAAAAATTCTTTCTTCTTACTTTTCTTTGAGTTTGTCATAAATCTTCTTAACATTCATACGACCAATGAAATATCAGGTCTCATTGCGATCTAGTATATCAAGCTTCAACACAAATCTAAAACATATTCTACATAAACTTAATCAAGAAAGTAATGGATGAACGTCATATCACTCCTTCAAATTTTCTTTTCATGGAATCTTTAATGCGATTGCATGTCAATTGCAAGACTACAATTAAGAAAATCTTCAACACATGTATCGTGATGGAATCAAATTCAAATTTAAAAGTTTGTAGTTTTACAATCTTTACCCTATCCTCTCCTTATTAGGTAGATTTTAAAAGATCTCAAGTCGTTTTTATAGAAATAGTGAGACAAATTCAACTTAAAATACAGTAGGCTCCTTCCAAATACAACTCAAGAGATTATAGCAAAAAGGAAATTGTTCTGTTACTCGTATGATTTAAAAGAAATAAGAACGAACATACATTTAATATGATTCGTTTAGGAGCTAATAGTTCCATAAGGTAGAGTTTGAGGTTAAAATTTGGAAATTTAGGCAGTAGTTTTATTGGTTAAAAGAAGGAAAGGAAAGAAAGTAGAAGAAAAGATGGTTTTGTGTAGAAGAAAAAAAGGAGACACGTGGGGGACATAGAAATGAAGAGAAGAGAGAAGAATTGTTAAAGAAGAGAATATAAGAAGAATGTAGGGTGGGATTAGTGGGGGAAAGCATGATGAGGAAAGGCAGTGTGTGTGGGGATCTTTCGCTTCGTTTTTTCACTTAATTGGTAGCACTCTCCAACAACTCTTCTTTTCCCCACTTCCCCTTTGCATGCCTTTTCTCAACTCAATCATTCACCTCCATTTTCTTCCTCTTTGGTGCCTACCTACGCACACAATATTCATATCAATATTGGTACATGTGTGTGAGATTCCACGTCGATTGGGGGAGGAGAACGAAACATCTTTTATAAGGGTGTGGAAACCTTTTTCTAGCCGACGCATTTTAAAAACTTTGAGGAAAAACTCGAAAAGAAAAGTCTAAAAAAGACAATATATGCTTGTGGTCGAAGGTTTGAAGACCTCTTCTTAATAGACGCGTTTTGAAAACTTTGAGACAAAGCTCGAGACGGGAAGTCCAAAGAGGACAATATCTTTTAAAAATCTTGAGGGAAGCCCAAAAAGGATAATATCTACTAGCGGTGGAAGGCGTGGAAACCTCTCTCTAGTGAATGCATTTTAAAACTTTGAGGGAAAGCTCGAAAGGGAAAGCTTAAAGAGGACAATATCTGCTAGTGGTGGAGGGTATGTAAGTCTCTCCCTAACAGACGCATTTTAAAAACTTTGAGAGAAAACTCGAAAGGGAAAGCTCAAAGAGGACAATATCTACTAGCGTTGAAGGGTATGAAAACCTCTCCCTAGCAAAAAAAAAACCTTGAGGGAATGTCTAAAAGAGAAAGCCTAAAAAAGATAATATCTACTCGTGGTGGAGGGTGTGGAAACCTTTCTCTAACGGACCCGTTTTAAAAACTTTGAGAGAAAACCCTAAAAGACACGTTTTAAAAACTTTGAGGGAAACCCCGAAAGGAAAAGCCTAAAGAGAACAATAAATGTTAGCAGTGGAGGGTGTGGGTTAATAGACGCGTTTTAAAAACCGTAAGAAAAAGCTCGAGAAAGAAAACTCAAAGAAGACAATACCTGTCAACGGCGGACTTGAAATGTTACAACATAGTTCGCTCATGTGGCCTTTCTTTCTATTCAAGCACCTTATCATAACGTACGTGCCTTGATGCATTGCCATGTTGACTAATACCAACCAACCAACCACTCTCTCTCTCTCTCTCTTTCTCCAATTCTTTAATATGCTACCCTTTTGTTGATGAGTTTGATACTCAAACCCACAAAGCTGTATTCACTTCTTTTCCATCTCTTCCAACATATAATATATTGCATGAACACAGCGTTGCTCCTCTTCCACACTCCAACCAATTCTCTTCCTCATCGCTTGTTTTATATTGATTTGATTGCAGGTGCCACCATGGATCAACTTTGCACAAGCTTTTCTATCAACTGATCTCTCTCTCTCTCTTCATACGGTACTTTTTCAACTCTTTTTGGTTCAATTCCAACAAAAATTTTGATAATTTCCATTCCAATCACAAAAATAAGGAAACCCATCTGATAGTGTTCTTCATTTAATTCATGTTCTTCACAATTTTGCATTAATTCCCATGTTTGGTTTCATCCAATTCATAAAGTTTTATAGTTTACTTTGAGAAAAAGTGGGAAATAATTGAAGAAATAGAACCCCAAAGGGAGGGTTTGGTTGTTTTTGTGGCCACACAATATATAGCCTTTTGTTTTTCAGTGTCTTCTCTTTACCCCATTTGCCTGTCATTGCACAGACCGCACTTCCATGCCTACAACTCTCTCTCTCTCTCTCTCTCTCTCTCTCAAGAACAAACAACATTCTTCTCATTTTTTTTCCTTAATGTTTAGTGTTCATGTGATAGATCTTCATTTCCCATCTTTTCTTTTTATTTTCCTGATTTTTGTTTGATATAGGGTTGGTGTAGATGCTCCTTTAAACACATGAAATATTTGATTATTTGATTTGATTAAGGGAATAAACAGTGAGATCTTGCATCAGTTGGGGAGGAGAACGAAACATTTTTTATAGAGTGTGAAAATCTTTTGCCAGTAGACACGTTTTAAAACCCTTGAGGGGAAGTCCGAAAGGGAAAATCTAAAGAGGACAATATCTACGGTGGGGTTGGACTATTACAAATGGTATCAAAGTTAGACATGAGCGATGTGCCAACAAGGAAGCTGAGATCTGAAGGGGGTGGAGACAAGGGGGTAGATTGTGAGATCCCACATCGATTAGGAAGGAGAACGAAATATTCTTTATAAGGGTGTGGAAACCTCTCGCTAGCATAATGTTTTTAAAACCTAGAGGGAAAGCCCGAAAGGAAAAATTCAAAGAGGATAATATCTGCAAGCGGTGGGCTTGGGCTGTTACAAATGGTATAAGAGTTAGACACAGGACGATGTGTCAACAAGAAAGCTAAGCCCCAAATGAGAATGGACACAAGGTGGTGTGCCAGCAAAGACGCTCGGCCCCGAACAGGGTGGATTTAGGGGTCCCACATCAATTGGAGAAGGAAACGGGTGTCAGGGGCTCCGATGAGGGTGAATTGAGAGATCTCACATTAGATTAATATATTTTTATAAAAGTGGGAAAACCTCTCCCTAACAGACAATATCTAACGTCTAAAAACAGTGGGCTTTGATTGACTATTTGCACAGTTTGAAAGAGGGTCCAAGAAGTTTGTTTCCAGTTCTTGAAATGTTGTTTAAGTTAATTTTCATTACAGATTAAGCAAATCCATGTATCAAGCTTGTAAATCATTATATTATACCTTTTGAGAATTTGATGTTATCTAATTTGTATGATTATGGAAGGTGTGTGACTAGAAATCTACCATTTCAACTGAGTTAGAGCCATGAAGTTCATGAAATTAGGAACAAGGCCGGACACCTTCTACACTGAAGAGGCTACCAGGTAATGAATGCATTCATATGAACATAATTCAACCCACATGCCTCCTTTTTTTAATCAAGCTTTCATTGCAGGACTGTCATTTCTGATGCACCCACTGATCTTATTATCAAAATAAAAAACATTACATATCTCATTCACAAGGTTCGTTCAACTCATCCCATGATGTTCTTCAAAAACTGCTTTTTCCGACATGTTTTTTTGAGCTAACCGAGCTGGATTTTGCTAGCTGCAGTTCCCACTACTGCCCAATTGCGGCCTTTTACAGCGTCTTTGCTCCAACAATGCTGACAAAATCAGTATTGAACTCCACGACATTCCTGGAGGAGAAGAAGCCTTTGAGCTCTGTGCCAAATTCTGCTATGGAATCACTATAAATCTCAGTGCCCATAACTTTGTCTCTGCATTCTGTGCTGCTAAGTTCCTTCAAATGAGCGATTCCACAGATAATGGGAACTTCATTGCCAAGCTTGAAACTTTCTTTCTTTCTTGCATCCTTGCTGGTTGGAAGGACACCATTGTTGCACTTCGTTCTGCTGTTGGCCTGTTGGAATGGTCCGACAATCTTGGAATCACCAGAAAATGTATCGATTCAATCGTCGAGAAAATCCTCACTCCACCTTCTAAGGTTTGAATCTCAAATGGGTTTGTCGTACTTTTTATTAGGAATAACGACTCTCCACAATAGTATGATATTATCATTTGTCAATGTGAAACTCCCTCTCAACCATCCTCCCATCGATCAAAGTACGCTATCGAGCCTCCCTGAGACCTATGGAGCCCTCGAATAGCTTTCCTTAATCGAGGTTCGACTCCTTTTCTGGAGTCTCCTTAACAATCTTCCCATCGAATAAAGTACACTATCAATCCTCCCATGAAGCCTATAAAGCCCTCGAACAACCTTCCTTAATCGAGGCTCGACTCCTTTTCTAGAGTCCTAGAACAAAGTACACCATTTGTTCGACACTTGAGTCACTTTTGACTACACCTTCGAGGGTCTCAACTTCTTCGTTCGACATTTGAAGATGCTGTTGACATGGTTAAGTTAAGGGCATGACTCTGATATCATATTGGGAATCATGACTTTCCATAATGGTATGATACTGTCTATTTTGAACATAAGCTCTCGTGCTTTTGTTTTAGGCTTCCTTAAAAAGCCTCATACCAATGAGATGTATTATTTACTTATAAACTTATGATCATTCATTAAATTAGCCGATAGGTGCCTCCCTCCCAACCATCCTTAACAATCCTCCCTTCGAACAAATACATTATAGAGTCTCCCCTTAGGTCTATGGAACCCTCGAACAACCTTCCTTAATCGAGGCTCGACTCCTTCTATAGAGTCCTTGAACAAACTACACCGTTTATTCGACACTTGAGTTACTTTTGACTACACCTTCAAGACTCACAATTTATTTGTTCGACATTTAAGGATTTTTGACATGACTAAGTTAAGAGCATGACTCTAATACCATCACCACTTTAAGTATAAACTCTAATAGCTTTGCAGCGGGCTTCCTAAAAGGTCTCATGCCAATGGAATTCCTTACTTATAAACCTATGATCATTCCTTAAATTAGTCAACTCTCGACACTTTTCCCCTTTTTCTTCCTCAAATTCCCTAACTTTTCAATTTTGTTGCAGGTCACATGGTCCTACACTTACACCAGACCAGGCTACAACAAGAAAACCCACCGCTCTGTTCCCAAAGATTGGTGGACAGAGGACATAGCCGATCTAGACATCGATCTATTCCGCTGTATAATCGTGGCCATTTCATCAACATGCATGCTGCCGCCGCCGCTAATCGGCGAAGCTTTACACGTCTACGCTTGTCGGTGGCTTCCAGATATCTCAGCCCAAGAGAATTCAGCTAAGAATCGGCAAATCCTCGAGACCCTAATCAGCCTCATACCCCCAGATCAAGAATCAATATCAGTTAGCTTCTCGCTTCGGCTACTCAGCCTTGCAAATCTCTTGGGAGCCTCTTCAGCTACAAAAACAGAGGTTATAAGGCGATGCAGCGCCCTGTTGGAAGAGGCAACAGTGAGCGACTTACTTTTTGCTTCACATTCTGCCTCCAATGATGATGGTGGTGATGAGCATTGCCATGATGTTGATTTGGTTGTGGCTGTTTTAGAGAGCTTCTTAATGGCGTGGAGACGACAGTCGCCGGCGGCTGATGAAAATGCTCAGCTTTTGATATCTATTAGAAAAGTTGGGAAGCTCATTGACTCTTATCTCCAAGTGGTTGCTAGAGATCGAAACATGCCTGTTGCAAAGATGATTTATCTTGCTGAAGCTTTGCCCGACGTTGCCCGGCCGAATCACGATCATGTTTACAGAGCAATCAACATCTTTCTCAAGGTAAATACTACTGGCATATAAACTTGACTTAATAGAATAAGTCACTAACTTTCACTTACAGAGTAATTTTAGAAAAATTGTCGGTAGACTTAGTAGAATAAATTAGTAATTTATGAAACAACTATAGTAAAATTGGTAGTAGTTACTAAATTGTGGACCAAATTTTGTGGCGGTAGACTAAGTTTTATGTTTTAATTAAAAAGATCATTTATGTTTTAATTAAAAAGATCATGAGTGGTTCTTACCTTGGGAGAAAGTTTAGGAAGCTAGTTAGTGATTGTGAGTGGTTCTTACCTTGGGAGAAAGTTTAGGAAGCTAGTTAGTACTTTCTCCACTATACGTACTCATGAGATGTATGTTTTTTCATAACAAAGAAAATTGAAGAGCTAAATGCTTTTTTTTTTGTCCAAGAGATCTCTCCCTTCAAGGTATTCCTTTGTCTCTTTTATTTGTTTGACATAATTCCAATCAAGGGTCACATCCAATATTTGGTATCAGAGCATTTAAGATACCGAAACAAATCTCGTCACCATAAAAAGTCATCGAAGGAGAAGTGACAACAATAAAGAGCGGAAAGGAGGGGAGTGTAATGCTCAAGTACCTGTTACTCATGAAGAGTAACTACACAGCATGGTCGATAAAGGTGCGTGTCAACTTATAAGCACAAGGCATGTGGAACACCATTGACCATGGTGACGTTGAGGAGCATAAGGATAGAATGGCTCATGCCGCCATCTACCAAGCAGTCCCGGAGGACGTTCTTCTCATGTTGGAAGAGAAGGACTCGACAAAGGTAGCGTGGGAGACGCTGCAAACCATGCATGTGGGTGTGGAACGTGTCAAGGAAGCAAAGGTGCATACCTTGAAGAGTAAGTTTGAGGCTATTCCCATGAAGGACGGTGAGTCAATAGATGGCTTTACCATGAAGTTGATGACGATCGTTAGCGGCATCCGTTTATTAGGCAGCATGGTGGAAGAAATCTTCGTCGTCAAGAAGTTCCTTCGAGTTGTTCCCCCAAAATTCATGCAAATTGTTACCTCCATCGAGCAATTCGGTGACTTCAAGAACATATCAGATGAGGAGGTTGTTGGTCGTCTTAAGGTCCATGAAGAGAGACTTCGTGGTTATTAAGACAAATAGGAGGAGAAACACCTCTTACTCACATATGAGGAGTGGCTCGCTTAGACGAAAAGGAATGATGCAGTCGACTCTTCTTTTTCAAGTACGAGAGAACATGGCAACCATAACAAGGAAAACAGAGGTCGTGGACGTGGTCGTGGACATGGCTGAGGACGTGGTGGTAGAGGAGGTCGTGATAATACCTCACAAACCCATGACAATTCCAACCCTTGGAAGGACAAGAGTATGATCAAGATTTACTCTTGTGGAAAATATGGGCACTATGCAGTAGAGTACCGCAAGAAGAAGCGTGATGAGGAGGAAAACCTCACTCACGCAGGATCAAGAGCTTGCATTGATGTTGGCCGAGAAGATACCCAACCTGTTAATGCTCAACAAAGAGAAGGTTATGGAGAACCTTCTCACAAAAGAAGAAGACCGAGTGGAGACCAACATGTGGTACCTTGACAATGGAGCAAACAACCACATGGTCAGAGATCGAACTAAGTTCAAGGAGCTTGATGAGAAGCTCATTGAAAACGTAAAGTTTGACGATGGATCAATTGTACCGGTCCAAGAAAAATGATCCATCTTGTTCCAGTGCAAGAATGGTGACCAACGTTTACTGACCAAGGTATACTATATCCCAAACTTGAAGAGTAACATTATCAATCTTGGTCAAATGATGGAAGAAGGAAGCAGAGTGGAGTTAGCTGGCTCGTTCCTCAAGATATTCGACAGAAATGGAACCTTGTTGATGAAGGTAAAATGATCGCATAACCGCATGTACAGGATACTATTGGAGACCAATCAACCCACCTCTCTATTGACGAAACTTGCAGACCTAGCTTGGCTATGGCATGCAAGACTTGGGCACGTGAACTTTCAAACGCTTAAAATGATGGGAGAGAAGAAGATGGCTAGGGGCTACCCAAAATCATACACCCGAACTAGCTATGTGAAAGTTGCCAAGTCTCCAAACAAGCAAGACTGTCATTCCCATCTCAAACAAGTTCTCGTTCTAAGCGACCACTGCAACTGGTTCATGTAGATTTGTGTGGTTCGATCACCTCATCATTGATTGTTGGTAATAAGTATTCTCTCTTTTTTGTTCACGATTATAGTCGTTGGATGTGGGTGTACATGCTCAAAGAAAAAGGAGAAGCATTATGTGCGTTCAAGAAATTCAAAATACTAGTTGAAAGCGGGTATGATTAAAAGTTGAAAACCTTGCGCAGCGACTGAGGTGGCGAGTTCTTATCCCAAAACTTCTCAAAGTTTTATGAAGAGGAAGATATCAAGCGTCAACTCACTGTACCGTACACTTCACAACAAAACGGTGTGGTCGAACGAAGAAATCGCACCATAATGAACTCTGAAAGAAGCTTACTCAAGAGCATGCAAGTCTCGACAATTTTCTAGCGAAGCAATACGACATGTGGTTTATCTTCTAAATCATTTACCGACAAAGGCGCTAGACATTTGATGCCCCTACAAAGCATGGTTCGGTAAGATACCTCACTTCGAGTACCTAAGAGTTTTCGGTTGTACAACACATGTTAAGACTGCAAAGCCATATATAAAAAAGCTTGATGACAGGAGCCAAAAGATGGTGTACTTTGGCGTAGAGGATGGGACCAAGGCACACAGGTTGTATGATTTGCAACAGGAGAAAATTCATGTAAGTAGAGATGTCGTATTCGAAGAAGAGAAGAAGTGGGATTGGTGCAGCGTTGGCGATAACAAGCAGATTGTTATAGAGTTCATTACTCTGAAAGAAGAGAGACGCAACAGACCTAAAAAGTAACCCAACAGCAGCAACAACAACAACAAGTTCACACATGTTATTACCGGTGACACTGATTGGCATGATGGACTCTCTAGAACAAGAGAGCTCAGACGAGCGCATAGGAGGATCCACAATAGAGGATGAACCAAAGAAGTTTCGTTCTCTTGCTGAAATTTATGCGGACACACTTGAAGAAGAATTGGATCCCGATGAGTTAATGTTGCTTGCAGCCAAGGAGTCAACAACCTATCATGAGGCAACAACTGAGACGATGTGGCAGGAGACCATGCAAAAGGAGCTTGAACATTGAGAAGAACAAGACTTAGGCAAGAACAAGACTTAGGCACTAACTAACTTACCGTCTGGATACAAGCCCATTGGATTGATGTAGGTGTTTAAGTTGAAGAAGAATAATGAAGGAAACGTCATCAAGCATAAAGCAAGACTCGTGGCGAAGGGATACGTGCAACGACAAGGAGTTGATTTTGAGGAGGTTTTCGCGCTTGTGGCTAGACTAGACACTATAAGGTTTATTCTTGCCCTTGTAGCTCAACACGGGTGGGAAGTCCATCACTTGGACGTCAAATCAACATTCCTAAATGGTGACCTCCAAGAAGAAGTGTATGTTGTCCAACTTGAAGGGTTTGTCATCAAAGCCGAAGAGCACAAAGTGTACAAGTTGTCAAAGACCCTCTACGGTTTACGGCAAGTGCCGAGGGCGTGGAACATATGTTTGAACAAGAGCTTAAAGAGTCTAAACTTGATAAAGTGCTCACAAGAACAATCAGTGTATACAGGAAACGATGGGGCTGAAACACTCATAGTTGGTATGTACGTTGATAACCTGATCTTCACTTGTACAAGTGTGGAAGACGTTAAAGAGTTCAAGAAACAAATGATGAAAGAATTTGAAATGACTGATCTCAAGTTACTCACGTACTACCACAATATTGAAGTTGACCAAAGGATATATTGCATTATGCTAAAGCAATCAACCTATGCTAAGAAGTTGTTGCAGTAATTTAAGATGACAGAGTACAACCTGACCAAGTATCTCATGGAAGCAGAGTTACAACTCGGGAAAGATGTTGAAAGAAGTTTGGTGAATTCCGCTGAGTATAGGCGTGTCATCGAAAGTCTAAGGTACTTGACTCGTACTCATCCGGACCTTTCATATGCTATTGGAATAGTGAATGTAGAATAGTGAATAGGTGCATGGAAAAGCCCACTATGATGCATCATCAAGCGGTTAAGCACATTCTACGTGTGAAGGAAACCTCAAGCTACGGGTTGAAGTATCAAAGAAGGCGATGTCCTGAAGAACTAGTCAGTTTTACCGATAGTGATTTAGTAGGAGACATTGACGATAGAAAAAGCACGATACGAAGGACGTTTTATCTCAACGAAAATTGTAATCTCTTGGAAATCTCAGAAGCAGTGAACTAAGACACTATCTTCCTGTGCGGTCAAGTTCATGGCAACAACTACAGCGTCGTGGCAAGCATTGTAGTTGAGAAATTTGTTGAATGATGTGACTAGAAGTGAACTAAACCCAGTAACTCTCTACGTCGACAACAAATCTGCAATTGTACTGATGAAGAATCCAGTATTTCACTGACACAGCAAACACATTGATACTCGCTTCCACTTCATCGGTGAGTGTGTTAAGAAGAGACAAATGATTGTGAAGTTCGTATGCACTAGAAAACAACATGTTGATATTCTAACTAAGGCCCTAGCAAGAGTTAAGTTTGTAGAGATGCAGGAATTGCTAGGAGTGAAGAATCTTGAACAAAGTCAAGTTTACGGAGGAGATTGTGAGGTTATAAACTTGACTTAGCACTAACTTATAGAGTAACTTTAGGAGAATTGTTAGTACACTTAGTCGAATAAGTTACTAGCTTATGGAGCAACTACATGAGAATGGGTAGTAATTACCAAATCGTGGACCAAGTTTTGTGGTTGTGGACTAAGTTTTATGTTTTAATTAGGAAGATCGTTAGTGGTTGTTAACTTGAGGAGAAAGTTTAGGAAGCTAGCTTATTAGTGCTTTCTCCAACCTAAATACTCTTGAGAGGTATGTTTTTTCACAACAACAAAGAGAATTGAAAAGCTAAGTACTTCAATTTTTTTTTGCTCCAAAAGATCTCTCCCCTTAATATATTCCTTTGCCTCTTATACATGTTTCGACATAATTCCGATCGAGGATCACATCCAACAAACACTGTAGGAATGAATTGAGTGAATATTTCTATTTTTAATTTTTTAATTTTTTTTTTTTTTTTTTTGTTCATCCTTATCTCCGCTCCTAAATGCTTGGGGAACTTATTTGTTGTAGGAGCATCCATATCTAAGCAAAGCTGATAGAAAGAGATTATGTCGAGTTCTGAACTGCCAGAAGCTGTCGGCGGATGTACGTGCTCATGCAGTGAAGAACGAGCGGCTGCCACTAAGAACAGTTGTGCAAGTGTTGTTCTTTGAGCAAGAGAAAGGTAATTCCAAGACAAGTAGCCGCGTAGCAGCAGCCAGCGATGAGCTGAGATCACGGGCAGATGAAAAGTTGAGGAGATCAGCAAGCACAAGATCAAGGCACAAAGTTGCAGAAGCTGATAAAGATGAGATGAACACAAAACATTCACTTGAATCACGAAGGAATCCATAGTATAGAAAAGGGATTGAGATGCGCCATGATCTCCCTTGCATTTTCAGGGTTCATGCTGTTCTTTCTTTCATCTCTAATTGCTATAAAGGTTTGTACAGATAATTCAATCAATCCCCTCCTTTCCAACAGGATCTTCTCATATGTAATGTGTTTTTTTTTTCCTTTTTCGTCAGCTGGGTGTTGCCATAAGTGTGTTTATGAATAAGATTGATTTGCAAAAGGCTAACCTTGGCAAAGTTTAATGAGACGGAATGAAGTTCTGGAGGATGACTGTGAGATCCCACGTCGGTTGGGGAGAAGAACGAAGCATTCTCTACAAAGATGTATAAATTTACGTAATTTCTAGCGATGGACCATATACTTAAGACATGCAGTATTGCAAAACAATTTGAAACTCTCATTTTTTACAAATGGCAACTCATCGATAATTATCATCTTAACACATGTTGCTCTCACCATTTTCATTTATTGAAAGATAAAACTTCTTCCACTTTATATAGATACGTCTACACTTATTTTTTTTCAACTATTTCTACAAATGTGCTAGTTTCACAAGAATTAGTATTATAAGCATACTACTTAGAAGAATAATTGCACTCATTCCTCTTGTTATTGTTCTCTAGTCCCCTTGCACTATTTCGATCTATAAAAAGTTGAGTGAAATTAATATGATTCAAACATTCAACCCAGCATGATACCATAACCATAATAGGCATTAAAATGGCTCAAATATAAACTATTTACATAAATCATAAACATTAAACATGCTATGCTACGTTATTATCATCAACACAATATACCATATTACCATCATCAACTTGAATTTCACTAAACATTAAACATA